CTCCTACGGTTTATTCGTTCTTATCCTAGAAGACTAGAATATCTATCCATTTCTTGAATATAGAAGGGTAGCAAATTCTCCTCACGTATTTTAAGACCATGAGTATTGGTCCCGGTGGCTTCGGGCGGAATCTCCCGGTGTAGTTCCGAGGGGCATCCCACTGAGCCCGTGCGCGGATCCCGAAACAGCTTCAGGCTAGAACAAGATCCAAGGCCTGGTAATTCGGATGTAATATTCTGACAACGTCCTGAAAGGGATCCTGATGCAGTAAAATTTTTTCGGAAATTTAATTTTTTTTTTAAATTTTTTTTGATATTTTAAAAAAGCCGTAAGCAAACCGCAAGAAAACTTACTCCAACAAGACTTTAATTCGTTCAGTCCTCCAGCTTAGCGACCAGTCCCTAGTTTGTGTGAATCAGTGAACCTCGTCCACCCCTCCCCAATGTAGTTTTATGGTTGGATTGCGCAAATAACTGGGAATGAAGTTCAGAGAGTATTAACTGTTTGGCGAAGGTAACAAACCTAATTGAAAGTCCCATACTCTGAAAGTACTGTTAAGAGAGGCCTGGTTACTCTCTGAGAAATCGTTAGCGCCAATGCTCGATAAAAGGTTAACCTCAAAGAACCACGAGGTTTAGAATTATCTAATAAAAAAATGCATCAACAAACAGAGACAGTGAAGCGTTTTCACGCAAAACCTCAGTGGCAACAAGTCCTCGCAGTCAGCTCTTTTATAGGTGAGTAAAAATCTGCAGAAATTTTTATTCGGAATTTTATCTATTTATCACGAGATATATCTAACATGCTTTGCATTTGGAGAGAATTTCTTTGTCGCTTATTTCTGATTCGCTTTCAAATGACTATCAGAAAAAATAATGAATTTTTAACAACCTGCAGGGATTTGTTTCGATCTCTTGAATGGCAGCGGGTATATTTGTATGTTCTGGTTGTTCAAGTCCATATTTTTTTGTCAGGTGGATTCACAAAAAAAAAACTAGGTTAGAAATAAGTGTATAACCACGTGCAAAATATAATACAACAACCGATCGGAAAACTGGAAAACGTCACAATAAAAACTACAATTTAAACATAGCAAATTTTCCGAAAACGAAAAAAAGGCAGATTCTCGGTTCGCGATCAATTTTCGTTTGCACTTGATTAGTACAAGGAGGAGTGTTAACTTTCTTGGCCAATAAAAATAGCAGAGTAAAGTAAAGCCAAATAAATGCAATAATCACGGCATTCATTTGGAAATTATTTTAGTATAAAGATTACAGTCTCCTGATTAAGTCAGGCGTGTACTATTTTTAATTTTTTTTTTTTATTTAATTTCGTACTTTTTATCAACTATTTCTCTGCATTTTAGTAGCGCAAAGCTGTAGGAGGAAATTTTGAGGTCGGGAACCTTTTGAATCTAACGAATTTCAGGTGTTGTGGTGAGCGGTTAATCTTGTAACGTAACCCCATTCACTCGTTCCAGTCCACTTCCTAACCACTCGAAGTTGCCATCGGTACAATCGTTACTCCGTAAACTTTGACCGGCCCATCATTTCTAACTTTCAGGCTTCACTCTAGCAGTGTGGTACAATTTATGGAATACGGGATCACGGATACCACTCGAGGGAACAGTATCTTCGTCTTTGGTTCATGAACAAAGAGGAGAAGGTGAGTGCGGCATACAGAAACTTACCATACGGTTGGGCTAATTTGGGTTCAGTTTTCTTTCTCGGATATTTTAAGACTTGGCTGGGGCAGAGGGGGGACGGGGGACTTAAACGGAAGTCTGGTTGATTCGCTCTTACCCTCCTTTGTAAGTCCATAATACTACCCCTGTCCCCCCCCCCTCCACTCGCATCCCAAACTTCATGATAAGGGAAGCAATTCATTCTACCGGCTTAAGGTGATTCCTCAGTATTGCATTGCGAATCCTGTACTACGCATGAAAATAATGTAATCAGGCAAATAAGCGAGTCCGCCGCATTCCAGGAACGTGGAATGGACCAGGTGAAGAGGCACGATGGTCTTTAGCTCTTGAACGAGCTCGGTGACCTATAGTGTGCAAGTTACCCCCTCTAAATTGTAGTGTGCACGAAGCCCGATACTTGACGATGAAAATTGACCCTGAGCGCAACGACTCGTGGAACGTTTTGAGTCAATTTCGTTTCAAATTGCATGATTTTTCCCACAAATTATACATCAAATTGTTCCATACGTTCGAGACTTTCTATCTTTTAAGTTTTTTTCAAGTGTTACTTTAAAAAACCCTTGCTTCCAGCTACTGCAAAATGTACCGAGTATCGATAAAATAACGCTCGCAATTAGTGCTAGTGCAGGCATTGTGGGGTAAGACTGGCCGATCACATCTCTCAAAAAAGCACGGTGACCTATCTTTTTTATTGTATTTTTCGAAACAGACATTGGTAGGGAACATATAAAAAAGTTTGAAAAAAAAAGGTTCAATAACTTAATTTTTTGAGGATCCTTACACTTTGAGTACTTTTCACAGGAGTGTATATGACTTTGAAACTGAAATGCTTCTACTGCGATTCTCAAGACTTCGGTACAGCATGGGAAACTCTTACCCAGGACACCACATGTCAGGACAGTGTGTTTTCAACTTGTTTTCGGAATCAGACCCTCCCGGGCAGACAAACGACTGAAGTTATAGATCTCATAAGAAGCTGTGAACAGAAATGCAAATGTTCAGACGAGGAGGGCTGGTGTGTGACTCCAGAATGCAAACGTCAAATGAAATGCTGTTGGGGTCAGGCGTACTGTGAAAAAGATTAAAAGTGAGACAAATACAGTTGTCGCGAATGGAGTTTATTTTTTTTTTTATATCACTATTTATGCCTATGCTTTAGGCAACGTACACGTATTGCAGATCTCTTATCATGCGCAATGCAGGCCCACTACTTTTCCCGCCATTTCAAGCTTTTTGTAACTGTTGGACGCTCAAGAATTGTGCAAACTTTTTGGAATACAGCATTTGTTTATATTCATTTTTGTCTGAGTTTTCGAAGCTTACGCTCAGTCTTCGTGACATTAAGACCAAACACTTAACTACGCCTGGAAGGAGACCGTGAAAGCGTCGCTAAACCATAACTACCCCCCCCCCCCGAGAGAAAACACTTCAAACATAAGGACCGGAAATATGACGATGGAAATGATCACAGGCACCGCGGAGAGGGTGGGGCTGGGGGGGCTTTAGCCCCCCACTTTTTTGGCTGATTAAATTATTATTTCAATTTTTAACTTAAAATTAACTTAATGGTAGCGTTTATTGGATGCATTTCTAGCCATTTCAGAAGAATAATATTTCAAATTTTCCCGGGGGAGCATGCCCCCGGACTCCCCTAGTTGGCTCACGCTTGCGCGTTTGCGTTAGCCCCCCCACTTGTTAATACGCTCCGCGGGCCCTGGATCATCACAGTTAGGAAAAAAAAACAGTAGCTCCCATACTTGTAACGATGTCTTTCACTCTTAATTTTTAGTATTGAAATATGATTAACAGCTTCTTCAATACATAATTGTAGAAATGTTTTCTTTTGCTTCTCTCTTTCTAACGGCTTCTTCGACACATGATGTATAAATTTTCCCGTGCTTATTGGTCGAGAGCCGTTTTTGTACTTTTTTTTTTTTTGCAGTGAAATGAAAACCTCGCTTTATGAATTTTTGTTGCTTATATTTATAATAGAGCAAACGCACAGAAGCAAGAAGAAGCCAGCTTGCGGTAGATTCGTTATTTATATGCATTTTTTAAGCACGGGGAGGCAAGCGTGAGAGCCACGCGAGAGGCCCTCGTAACCTTTGTCGTACCCACCCCCCCTCCTTCTCAGTGACTTGAAAAACGAAAAATTCACGAGAAACCACATTCCAAGCGACTTACCCTCAAGATACCATGGATCAATGAAGAAATCTTCTTGCAAATAAAAACGCGCATTCTTGGTTTGAAAAAAACATTCAAATGCTGTTCGTAAGTATTGATAATAGGAAAACGCTCTCTAGGTAAATTTCTGAAAAAGGGGGCGAGGGTTGAAGTCTGCAATGCTTTTTCAGGTATTTGTAAAATAAAGAAAATTATAATAGTTTGTGATGGTAAAACGGAGCAAAAGCAGCTGAGAAATATCGGAGGTACGAATGTAAAGTGTCTAGTCTTCATCGTAATTGGTCGAAGTCCACCGCTTTTAATTTTGGGTAACCTCGCTCGTTCCAGTTCTAACTCGGTTGAAGACTTGAAGAAGAAATGATCGAACTAATTGCTTTGCGTGAAGTGGACGAAACGTGTAGCGACATGGAACACACCAACGATCAAACACCTCTCTTTGATAAAGAAACCGAGCAAGAAGTCCTGGTTCAACATTTAGATGAGACAACGAGACAAGGCACCCCGCCATACGTGTATTTCCTAACCGTATTTGCGGCGATCGGGGGATTTCTATTTGGTTACGATACTGGTGTTGTTTCCGGAGCAATGATTCTTATAAAACAAGAATTCCATTTGTCGTCTTTTTGGCAAGAACTCATTGTTAGTGCAACAATCGGCACAGCTATATTGAGTTCTCTCCTAGGAGGTTTTCTGAATCAAAGGTTTGGAAGAAAACCGATGCTTATAATCTCTGGGCTGGTGTTTACAATTGGTGCTATTGTGATGGGAGTCGCTCATTCAAGGGAAGTTCTTCTTCTTGGAAGGCTTATCGTCGGCCTGGGAATAGGTAATTAATCAAAATGGAATCCAATTATTTTTCTAGTTTTCGATTGTGGTTGAATTTAAATCGTAGCTCGTTTTACGATGATGTCAGGGAAGATATTCTTTTGTTTATATTTAGTAACATACGAACGTAGGTGTGGAGTTAATTTAAACGTTTACCTAATAATTTTCTTGCCTTGAAAGTAGTTGTTATGTAAAATATATCTATTGTCCATTTGCGTGTACTACGTGTACACCATGATTATCTGAGCAGGTATCTCTTATGGGACAACTCCAAATGGCCATGCGAAGCAACTTCTATCATTCTT